TAAAAAAGCTTCCGCGCGATCTCTTGCGAAATCTTAAGAAAACCATAGGTTTTTCAAAATCGGTCGAAAATGCCGAAGTCTGTCGAACGCCCTTGCGCGTGTGCCGTCGCGAGAATCCTCTGCAAAAAATGAAACGAAGTGCAGACGCGGGCGTCGTCGCGCGCGTATGCCGAAAACCTTCAAAACCCATCGGTTTCGAAAGGATTTCAAAATCGTGTGTCCAAAAAACCTACAAAAACACAAGGTTTCGCAACACGGATTTTCAACAAAAGCTTGCGCGCGCGCTCTTGCGTCGTCGTCGTCGTCGCCGTCCTCCCTCCTCCCGCGTCGTCGTCGTCGTCGCCTACGTCGTCCTCTGTCTTTCCTCGTGTTCGTCGTCGTCGTCCTCTTTGGCGTCGTGGTCGTTTCCGTCGTCGTTGTCGCCGTGGTCGTCCTTCCTCCTCCTCCCTCGTCGTCGTCGTCGTCGTCGTCGGCGTCTCGTCGTCGTCCCTCCTATTTCGTCGCCGCGTCGTCGTCGTCGTCGTCGTCGTTCGTTGTCGTCGTCTCCCCTCCTCCCTCGTCGTTGTCGTCGTCGGCGTCGCCGTCCTTCCTCCTTCTTCGTCGTTCGCGTCGTCGCCGTCCTCCCTCCTCCCTCGTCGTTGTCGTCGTTGTCGTCGTTGTCGCCGTCGTCGTCCTCCCTCCTCCCTCGTCGTCGTCTTCGTTGGCGACGTCGTCGTCGTCTTCGTCGTCGTCGTTGGCGTCGGCGTCGTCGTCGTCGTCGTCGACGTCGGCGGCGTCGTCGTCGTCTTCGGCGTCGTTGACGTCGTCGTCGTCGGTGTCGTCGTTGTCGTCGTCGTCAGCGTCGTCATCGTCGTCGTCGTCGGCGTCGGCGTCGTCGTCGGTGTCGTCGTCGTTGTCGTCGTTGTCGGCGTCGTCGAAGTCGTTGGAGACGTCGTCGGTGTCATCGTAGTCGTTGTTGGCGTCGTCGTCGTTGTCGCTGTCGTCGTCGGCGTCGCTGTCGCTGCCAAGTGCCATGTGGTACCCACCGTCACGGTCTTAAGGGATTTTGCAAACCAAGTTGCGGGTGGGTGGGTGGGATGTTTGCAAGAGCAGTGGAGTGGACAATTCACTGCGAACAGAAACTAATTGCACCACATAGATTGCACCACCTAGATTGCACCATTGCTCCACATAGATAGCGCCACACAAACTGTTGCAACACCACGATTTCGGGAGCCGCGTTGGCGAACATATACTGCCCATCCTTGCAGGGTTACGGCTGTTAGTCCCTGATGACCAACATCAACACCATCATCGCCATCCGCAGCAGCAACGTCGTCGTGGCCGTGGTCATCAGCACCAGCAGCACCACCATCGTCGGCATCATTCGCCTCGCGTACCTCCCACTTGCACCTGGCAATCATTATCATCATCATTATCATCATCAGCATCAGCACCATCATCAACAGCAGCATCATCATCCTCATCATTAGCATCACCACCACCATCATCATCATCACCATCATCATCAGTACCATCATCAATATCATCATCATCATCATCATCATCATCATCATCATCATCATCATCATCATCATCATCATCATCATCATCATCACCACCATCACCTGCATCACCAGCATCACCATCGTCCTCACCATCCTCATCATCGTGTTCCCCAAGTGTCCCCTTCCTGCGGCCCGGGCCCCACTGGCCGACTTACCCCCCTTAGAGATGGGGATACCCCTCGGGTTTCGAGGGGTGCATCCCCAACTGGGGTGGCAATCTGGTGGGGGTCTCAACGGGGATGGGGATGGGGATGGGGATTGGTCAAAAGCGACCGAGTATAGGGCCACAGAGGGAACCGTGTCTCGGGCACATGGCGGCGGAGGCGGCAAGCGCGCCGCGACGTGCCTCGCGGGCGCCACCCGACTCTGCGCGAGCCAGCACACGCGGGCTCGGGTCCGGGGACACGTAAGGTTATGTCGGGCGCGCCCCCCATACAGTTTTTTAAACAAAAAAAAAAAACAAAAAAAAACGGAATACATCGGCGCTACGAAAGTTTTGACCCGTTTTCCGTTTTCAGCTAAACAGCGAACCTCATGTTGCAGGAAGTCCTGCGCGAGAGCGCCATTTCGAAATCAATGCAGAAAGGTTTCGACTTCTATGTTTGAAGAAGTCCTGCGCGGGAGCGCCATTTCGAAATCGAAGCACAAACGTTTCGAATTCTGTGTTTGCGGAAGTCCTAGGCGGGAGCGCCATTTCGAAATCGAACCCGAAAGTTTCGAAATCGTTCGAGGTCGCTGTTTTTTCGAAGAAATATCAAGCGAAACCCCCGTTTCGAAATGGCCACGCCGTTTGGCATTTAGAAATTTAAAAAGCCCTGGCCCAAAAGCTCGAAAATGCAGCTGTCGCTTGGGATTTCCCCCCAAAACGAGCTCGACTGGATTTCGAAACCCTCGGGCTCGATTTCGAAATGCGGCTTTCGCCTAGGACTTCCCCCCCAAAGCGAGCTCGACTGGATTTCGAAACCCGCGGGCTCGATTTCGACAGGGCGGTGCCGCCCGAGACTGGAGCGGAAAATGCCTCAACCGAACATTGTACTGGGGCCCCGCGGCCTAACGGGCCCACTGCCAACGTTGTACTGGGGCCCCGTCGCCTAACGGGAGGCGTTGAGCGTTGATCGAACTTTCGCAGCGGCGAAGTGGAACCTCAAACCACATATGATTGCAAGTTACCTTGAGCCGAGCAGAGTACTGACCATCAGGCCCAGCGTAACCGTAGGAATCATTCACGCCAGTCGTGTAAGATGCCAACCACAGATGGTTGCAAGTTAACTTGAGCCGAACAGAGTACTGACCATCAGGTCCAGCGTAACCGTAGGAATCACTCATGCCAGTCGTGTAAGATGCCCATCGGCGCTACGAAAGTTTTGACCCGTTTTGTGTTTTCAGCTAAACAACGAAAACCAGTTTGCAGGAAGTCCTGCGCGGGAGCGCCATTTCGAAATCGAGGCAGAAAGGTTTGGAATCCTATGTTTGCGGAAGTCCTAGGCGGGAGCGCCATTTCGAAATCGAACCCGAAAGTTCCGAAATCGTTCGAAATCGTTTTTTCGAAGAAATATCAAGCGAAACCCCCGTTTCGAAATGGCCACGCCGTTTGGCATTTAGAAATTTAAAAAGCCCTGGCCCAAAAGCTCGAAAATGCAGCTGTCGCTTGGGACTTCCCCCCAAAACGAGCTCGACTGGATTTCGAAACCCTCGGGCTCGATTTCGAAATGCGGCTTTCGCCTAGGACTTCCCCCCCAAAGCGAGCTCGACTGGATTTCGAAACCCGCGGGCTCGATTTCGACAGGGCGGTGCCGCCCGAGACTGGAGCGGAAAATGCCTCAACCGAACATTGTACTGGGGCCCCGCGGCCTAACGGGCCCACTGCCAACGTTGTACTGGGGCCCCGTCGCCTAACGGGAGGCGTTGAGCGTTGACCGAACTTTCGCAGCGGCGAAGTACCCCAAAGAGGTCAAAAATACTCAAAAAATAGTCCCCAGACTATTTTTGGACTAGTGTTTGACTATTTGGGGGGTATTTTTTATTTTTCGTCGAAAATCCCCCTGTAGGGGGACAGGCCCGACTTAAACGTAAGGCTCGGGTTCGGGGAACTCGGGTTGGCCTGACGGGGCCGTCAGGAAAATGACGAGGACCATTCTGAAACTTGACGCGCAAATTCCCGCTGCAAGCATCCCCAAGGAAACTGGACCGTCAAAATCCGGGGCGGGATCCTCGAGAAAACATGGGCGAACCCCAGTTCCAGCATACTTGAGTGGCACGCTTCCCCGATAGGCTTCAAGAGGAGGCTGGTCTGGGACGGACACGGCATACCGAGACGGACTTGCTGCGGGAATCCACCGAGGGGCCGGGAATCCGACGGGGCCGACGGCGGCAGCGGTGAGGGGAGGAGGGGGAGGAGGAGCAGCATCGGGAGCAGGGATGAGGAAGAGGAGCGGAGAGAAGGGAATAAGAAAAACAGAAACAATAAAAAAGCGGAGGAAGAGGGAGATGATGGGGAGGATGGGGAGGAGGCTGAGGAGGAGGAGGAGGAGGAGGAGACGGGGAGGAGCAGGGAGTAGTGGGAGGAGGATTGATGGTTTACTTTGTCATGGGGGGGCGGAGGAAGATAGCGCTCAGGTTCGATTCGAAACGCGCAAGCCGATAACGGTGTCGATGCTTCAGCCCTGAGAGGGAGACCTGTGCCCCCTTCGAGAAGAAAGGAATGACGCAATACCAGCAACTCTTACTTCGAAAGAGCACATGCTCCATCACTAGAAGAAACGAAGGTTGAAGGAGCGTAACGTCCAGAGGTCCGCCCGGATTTCTTAGATATGCGCTGCACCCCCCTCCCTGGCGCGCTCCGCGCGCCAGGGAGGCGCCGCCAGGGGACCCAGCGCCGATCCGAGATATCCGCGCGGAACTCCGCGAAGTTGGATCTATAATCACCCTGCACACCTGCCCCCTCTGATCGAACTGACGATGCCGGGGAGGAAGCGTGGACGGCCTGCCAGGAGCGAAGGGAGGACGCACACGCACATGAATCCACGCTGGCTTCGGAGGTGGGCATGGCGCGAGCGTTCGCATCACCAGGCCGGTCTCGCGGACTCGTGGGCCATGCTCGTGCCAAGTATCTGGGCGCGTACAGTACGGGGGAAGTCGGTCCACAAGAAACCTTCCACCTCGGGCCGGGCGAAAGGGGGGGTTTGAGATTCAGCTCACGTAGCTGATTTTCCCGGCGCCTCCTGGCGCCGGGAGGCGCCTATGTATCGAGGAATGGGCCCGGCGGCGGGGCCGAAACCAGCTGCATGCAGCAGATTTCGTAACCCCCCTTTCCCTATCCCCCCTGTCGTCCGGCCCGACTACCGTCGCCTCTGAATCTGGGCGCGCACGTCCTTCGTGAGCTCCCGGCGCCGGGGGCCCCCCCACCCAGCGGCGGCGAGAGAGAGGCCGCGACGGCCCCGCGGGCGGAGGCGCAGGGCCGGGATGGCGAAGGCCCGCCTGCCAGAGCGTGCCTGGGGGCGCGCCAGGGCCAGAGCCTCCTCCCTCCTCCTCCTCCTCCTCCTCCTCCTCCTCCTCCTCCTCCTCCTCCTCCTCCTCCTCCTCCTCCTCCGTTCCTCCTCCTCCTCCTCCTCCTCCTCCTCCTCCAACTCATCTTCCTCCTCCAACTTCTCCTTCTCCTCCTCCTTCTCCTTCTCCTCACTCTCCTCCTCCGCCTACCTCCTCCCTCCTCACTCCTTCCTCCCCTCCGCCGCCTCCTCCTCTCCTCCTCCTCCATCCTCACTCCTCGCCTCCTCCTCCTCCTCCTCCTCCTCCTCCTCTCCTTCCCCTCCTCCTGCCCCTCCTCTCCTCGTTCTCTCCTCCTCCTCCTCCCTCCCCTCTCCTCCTCCTCCTCCTCCTCCTCCTCTCCTCCCTCCGCCTCCTCCTCCTCCTCCTCCTCCGCCTCCTCCTCCCCTCCGTCTCCTCCTCCTCCTCCTCCTCCCTCCTCCTCCTCCTCCCCTCCTCCCCCTCCCCTCCTCACATCTCCTCCTCCTCCTCCTCCTCCTCCGCCTCCGCCTCCGCCTCTCCCTCCTCCTCCGCCTCCTCCGCTTCCTCCTCCTCCTCCTCCTCCTCCTCCTCCTCCTCCTCCTCCTCCTCCTCGCCTCTCCTCCTCTTGGCGCTCCGCGGGGGCGGCGTGGCTGGAGCGGAGGGAGGGCTGTGGCTCCGCAGTGGGGCGGCGCCTCCCCCCTCTGGAGCGCCAGCGTGGCGAGCGCCAGCGCCAGCGGGAGGCCACGTCAGGTTCGGGCTGTGCCGACCTTCGGCGCCGGCTTCCGACACCGCGGGGATCCTTCACGCCTTGAGCGATCGACCGTTTCCGAGACGTCCAAGAATCGTTCTGCGTCGAACGACTCTGGGTCGCCCGCGGCGCTCGACGTCGAACGCCGCTGGCGGGGTCGCCGCAAGTCGACACGACACGAACCTGCTGCACTCAGACGCCATCCGACGAACTTCGCACGCACCTTCAGAAAGGGCGGCGGCGCCTGAAGCCGCGGGGCGGGCTCTCAGCGGCGATTTGCTCGCCGCCACACTCCCGAGGCCCAGGGACAGTCCATTGGAGGGTGTCTGCGCACTTGTTGTGGCGGAGAGGGAGGAGAAGAAGGAGGACGAGGAGGAGGAAAAGTTGCTTCATGGTCATCCCTCGACCTCGGGGAGGACAAACAAAGACGCACCTAGCATAATCTCTGTGTAGAGAGTTGCTGCGGAGCGTGTAGTGGTATTCGAAAATATCCCGACGCAGGGCACGTATGCCTATACTCTTCTGTTTCGTCCTCATTGGCTGTCTATTCCCGCTCCTCCTCAATGGCCTCGTCCTCGGCCTCCCCCTTCTCCCCCATGCTCTTCCTCTTCCTCCCTCCTCCCTCCCCCGTCCTCTTCCATGGGAAAACGATGGGGGGCAGGGGGGCGACAGAAGAGGTGAGGGAGGAAGACGACGTGAAATTCAGAACACACTAGAAAGCACCAGTGCGCAACGCGAATTACAAGTTGAAACAGGCAAAGCACAGGCATGCATCACCCCACTCATGCAAAGTCCAAGTTAACACCCCTGGCAACGGCCTCTTCGATGAACTGCTCAAGGATCAGCTCCTGCGACTCAGGATCTGGGTCGAGGCCATCGAGCATATCCCTGCGGTGCGCGGGCGGTCCCGAACTTCCCGCGCAGACCCCATGACTGCAGACGCATAACTCCTTCGCAGGTGGACTGGTCCCCTCCCTCTGCAGACTCCTGCCACAATGAAAATCCTCCGACCCCCGCTAGCCCTTGGTGACAAGGCGTCGAGGATGCCCACGATGCAGCTCAGCTGGCTCCAGCTAGGCTCCAACACGCGGAGCAGAGTTCGGGAACAACCAAGATGGCCTCATGACTGCCACTGTGGTCTCCAAGACACACCAACAAGGCTCCAAAAATCGCTTCAATCACTCAGGGGAACGTATAATGATCGAAGATTCACGTTTTCGCCTTGATACATCCAAAATGAATCAAGAGGCCTCCAAGATCGCTTCAAGACGGCCCAAGAAGCTCCGAAGAAGGCCACAAGACGACCCAAGAAGCACCCAAGGGTGCCCCAAGACGGCCCCAGAGGCGCCCAAAGCGGTCCAAGAGAGCCCCAATAGGGCAACAGGAGGGGCCCAAGAAGGGTCACTCGAACTGACACTTCCAGCCTTCCGTCCCAAGAGGCCCCAAGACCGCCGGTAGGCGCCCACGAACCACCCAGGAAGCCCTGACGGCCAAACAAAAAGACACCAAGAGGATCTCCAAGTGGCCCCGAAAGGCCTCACACATTGAATTCTTTTTCCTCAGGGGGTCGAGGATGAGGAGGAGGAGGAGGAGGAGGACGAGGAGGAGGAGGAGGAGGAGGACGAGGAGGAGAAGGAGGACGAGGAGGAGAAGGGAGGAGGGATCGGCGGAGCGGCGTAGACCTCTTGGACAAAAGCTAGC